CCCCCCCCCCCTCCTCTGCTCAGGAGGTCTCTCTGTTGTCTTTCCAGGGAGCTACTTTGCCAACCACTTCATCATGGGCGGCGAGAAGTTCGACTCCACCCAGCCCGAGGGTTACCTGTTCGGCGAGAACAGCGACCTCAACTTCCTGGGAAACCGGCCCGTGGTGGTGGGCACTGGGGGCAGAGGGGCTGGGGGGCAGGGGGGGCTGCCTGTGCCCCTTCCCAAACTGGGGGAGCCTGTGTGTGTCTTGGGGTGCGTGGTATGAAGCTGTCACCTCCCCGAGGGCAGAGCCAGCCAAGCACACCCGGGGGTGGCCCATGTGGGTTCTTTGATGTCTAATAGAAGAGCTGGGGACCTGCTGCAGCCTGTCCCACCTCCACGTGCCCCTCAGCAGCACGAGGTTATCGCTGTGCCCCTCACCCCGGTGCCAGGGGGGAGCTGCAGAGGGTGAGCAGGTGGCTGGGAACAGGCTGGACCATTGCAGGGCACCTGCTTTTGGGTGCTGCTCCTTGCAGCTCACCAGACCTGCAGGTATTTTCTGACCCACGAGGGCTGCTTGTACACACAGACCCCTTGGCTTCAAAACATCAGCTGGTGGAGAAGGTGGTGAGGGGTAATGGGTTGATTTAACCCAACTTCTGCTTTCTCACCCTGTCTTTGAGAGCTGCTTTTCTTCCCTTTCCCAGCTCAGCCTGGAACCACAGGGGTGGTTCAGGGAGGGGGACATCCCAGGAGTGGCTCTGCTGTGGGGCAGGGCAGAGTAGCCTGGAAAGGAGGAGAATGTTCCCCAAGCTCTGGCAAGAAAAGAGGGGTGGGAAGAGGGGAAAAAAGGGGTGTTGGGGGCTGTGGGCAGCACCAGTGGGGTTGGTGATGCTGCTGGTCCTGGGGAAACCAGCTGTAGGGGAGGTCCCCAGACCTCACCGTCCTGGAAATGTTTTTATTTCTGCTCCCTGTCTTTGGGAAGGGAGGGAATTAGAGCACAGTTGGTTTTGGCAGTGGGGGTAAATGTCCCCTGCTCCTTTGGGTGCATCTCTGCAGGGGGGCTGAGCAGCTGGGGCTGGGGAAGTGGGGGGGGGGGGTCAAGCATTAAAAAAAAATTCAAAGTGAGAAATTAAAAGGCAACAAAGCTTTTCTGTAGAGTAGAGATAAACTTGCCTGGTGCTAATGGTCCAGTTCTCAAACGCTGCCTGCTGTGGGCTGGCCAGGCTGCTGCCATCCCTGGTTTGTGTCTCCTCCTTGAAATCAGCTTCAGCAGCATTTTGGCAGCATTGGCAGCTCAGCCCTGTGCCAGAGCAGGGATTCTGGTAGAGCCAAGGGCAGGAGGATCCCCCCAAAACCTGTGGGCACTTGGTGGGCAAGGCCAGCCCCTTTCTCTCCATCCCAGAAAATGACAAGTCAGCACTTGGGTTCTCTCTCTCCAGCAGTGAGCTCTGAGAAATCCTCTTGATTCCAGTAAAAGCCTCTAAACTGCCCAGTGAGCAGTTCCTGAGTCAGACACCCTGACAGCAGAAGCAGCAGGGAAGGTAAAGGAACAGCTTGGAAACAGCAGAAAGAATTAATACAGCTTTGCAAACTCAATTGCCTTGTTCCAGCTTCATTACTGAGGGACCTGGGCTGCAGAGCTGGGACTGAGTGGGGGTGTTTTGGGGCTGGGCTTTCAGGTCAGGCCAGTCTGGGAGCTTGGGGGGGCTCAGGGAGCAGTCCTGTTGTTTCTGGTCCAAGCCTGTGTCCTGGTGTCCAGGCATTGTTTGGACAACTCTGATCCCCAAAACCTGTCCTGATGGCTCTAGATGGTTCTTGGCTTTGGTGTTGTGGCCTGTTGTGAGAGCCCTGGCTGGGCTGGGAACGTTTGAAACAGCCAGTGCTTTTTGGTGAGGGATTTATTTTGGGTTCCTTGAAGTGTCAAGGGCCAGGATGGCTTGGAAAAATTGTGTCCCAAGTCATCTCAGAGCTGAGTGCCTTGGCTGAGCTGTGAACAGCACTGCTGCTGTTGGGATGTGCCCAGCACAGCACCCAGAGGCTGGGCAGGATCTCCCCTCAACAGATACGGGATCATCTGGATTTTCCAGCTTGGGACTGGTCCCCAGGGGGCTGGGAAGGGTATTGCAGGTTTAAGAAGCTGCCACCATGCTGGGACACCTGTGCTGAGGAGCTGTTTGTGGCACCCAGAGAGCGTGGGGTGTTTGGGGAAGCCTGGGGGTGTTGAAACGTCTTGCTGGGTTTCCCTGCTCATGCAAACCAGCCTGGGTCTGCGTGTAGAAAAACCCCCAAGAAAGATTTTTGAGGGTTGTTTTTTTTTTTCACTTCGGCAGATGCCAGGCTGGACCAAACATTGTAGATGCAGGGATCCTCCTTTTTTTTCCTCCTTTTTTTTCCTCCTTTTTTTTCCTCCTTTTTTTTCCTCCTTTTTTTTCCTCCTTTTTTTTCCTCCTTTTTTTTCCTCCTTTTTTTTCCTCCTTTTTTTTCCTCCTTTTTTTTCCTCCTTTTTTTTCCTCCTTTTTTTTCCTCCTTTTTTTTCCTCCTTTTTTTTCCTCCTTTTTTTTCCTCCTTTTTTTTCCTCCTTTTTTTTCCTCCTTTTTTTTCCTCCTTTTTTTTCCTCCTTTTTTTTCCTCCTTTTTTTTCCTCCTTTTTTTTCCTCCTTTTTTTTCCTCCTTTTTTTTCCTCCTTTTTTTTCCTCCTTTTTTTTCCTCCTTTTTTTTCCTCCTTTTTTTTCCTCCTTTTTTTTCCTCCTTTTTTTTCCTCCTTTTTTTTCCTCCTTTTTTTTCCTCCTTTTTTTTCCTCCTTTTTTTTCCTCCTTTTTTTTCCTCCTTTTTTTTCCTCCTTTTTTTTCCTCCTTTTTTTTCCTCCTTTTTTTTCCTCCTTTATTTAACTTGATTCAAATTGAGAAGATGCCAAAACTCCTTTAAACAGCCCCTTTCTGATGTGCAAATCTGGCTTGCAAAATTTCATTTAAAAAATAAAATAATAACATAACCCTCCCCCCCTCAAAAAAAAAAAAGGGCCCAGACGTGGGTGGGAAAGAGCCCAAACGGGGGTGGCAAAAGTGGTTTCTGCAACAAGAAATTTGCCTGCAGAGCTTCCCCATCCTGCCTGGCCCAACGGCCCCCCCAGAGCTGCTCCCAGGGGGCCCGGGTGCCTCTTCCCTCCCCCATGGGTGCTGTGGTGGGAGGGGGCTCTGCACCCTCTGCCCTCCACAGCCAGGTTTGGGCAGGGCTCAGCTGGGCAAGGTGCAAGGGAGCAAGGCTGGTTTGCTTGGTTAATTTGGGCAGCAGGGGGACATATCGTGACATGGCATGTCGTGACATGGCTGGGCTCCTCTCCTCACTTGCTCCCTTCCAGCTGTAGGATGATTCTGCAGGTGCCCCTGGTTAAAAAGCTCATTAACAGCAGATTAATGACTCAGCCACCCCTTCCCCCTCCCGGAGGGGGCAGCAATTCCGAAGTGGATTTATCTCCAGAGCACCCTGTGCCATCACAGCGGCTCCAGCACAGGTTGCTGAGCTGCTTTTCCGTGGCACTGGTGGGACTGGAGTCATGGGCTGGTGGGACACGGGAGGTGATGCCCAGATGGGGGAGGAGGGATGGGACACCTGCCTGGCCCTGCGACCTGCCTGTCCCACCCCTCAGAGCCCAGCACGGGCCCCCCAGCCCCACAGATCCTGCTCTGCAGGGCTCTGGGGACAGGGAAGGCGACGGTGGCTTTGGGGACAGGGTAAGTGATGGTGGCTTTGGGGACAGGGTAAGTGATGGTGGCTTTGGGGACGGGTGATGATGACTTTCCCACGCGAGGGCGCCAGGGACATGGGAAACGGGCACCTGGGTCCCCGCAGGGCACCAGAAAGTGTCACCTGCACTTCAGTCTTCTCCGCCCAGTGTCGGGGAGCAGCAGGCACCTCGCTGTCCCCAAACCCTCCCCCCTAAACCAGGCTGGGGGTGCTGTGGGGGGACAAAGGGACCCAGGCAGCCTGGCTGGGTGACCTGCTCCCCCTCCCTTCGGCTCTTGTCAGCACCTGCCACCCCCGGTGGCACCTGCCACCCTCCTGTCCCCTGGCACCGGGTGACGAGCCAACCAGCCGGGAGGGGATCCCGGGGGAGCCTCTGCCTCTCCCGCACGTGGCTGTGTCATCCCCTGGGGGGGGCTGGTCCCTCCCTGGGGCTCAGCCTACCTGGGAGGTGGGGAAGGCAGAGGTGGGTCCTGCACTTGCTTCCCCAGCGCCCTGGGGTCTCCCTTGGGTGGCTGCAGTGCCAGAGAGGGTGTCCTGTGTGTGTGTCCCCACCTCTGACCCCTGCCAGGGCTCTTTGCAGAGGGATGTCCCCATCACCGTGCTGCCTGGTACCCAGCAGGAGCTGTGGGTGCTCAGCACCCATCCGGATGCACAGCCCCCTCCGGGTCCCTGCCTCAGATGGGGTTGGATCACTGGGGGGTCCGGGGACAAGGTCTGTGGGCACCTTTACCCCCCCCACACCCCCCCACCCCCGCGTGCTTCTGCCTTCACTGGTGTCTCTCTCGTCCTAGTTCCCTTATGCTGCTCCACCTCCTCAGGAACCCGTGAAGACCCTCAGGAGCTTAATCAACATCCGCAAGGACACCCTGCGCCTGGTCAGGTGAGTCCTGGGGCGGGGGGGAGGGAGGGCAAGAGGGGCCGGGTCCCCAGAGCCGTGGGGAGGGAGGGGCCGGCTGGGATGCTCCCAGGGAATGCCGAGCACAGGGAATGCTGAGCACAGGGATGCTCTCGTCCTGGCACAGCCGGGCACAGCTGGGACGAGCCACCAGGGTCCAAACGTGCCCCTGGCACGGGTGAGTTCCCCGCCCGCGGGCACTGGCTGAGCCGAGGGATGAAAGGAGCTTAGTGCTGCCTTTGAAGTGCTTTGATTCTCCTCCCTCCTCCGCTTTCCAAAGGCTTCCTTGGAGGGAGGCTGAGGACTGCGACAAGGATGGGGGGGGATTCAGGATTACAGCTGAAATCTTCCCGCGGCACTTCTCAGCCTGCAGGCTTGACCTGGAGCGTGCCAGGCTCTCCTGGCGTGCCTCAGTTTCCCCTGAGTAGGGGGAGGCAGCCCCTTTTGGGGCTGTGGGTGCCAAGGGCAGCTTTGTGCCAGAAGATGCTTCCTGGGGCACCCCGAGGGGTGTCCCTCATCTCCCAGACCCCAGGGGTGTCCATCCCCCAGACCCCCTGTGCTCCCCAGGTGCTCGGAGGAGGTGAAGACCCCTGGGGAAGAGGTCAGCAAAGCCAAGGTGCACTACAACGTGGAGTTCACCTTCGACACAGACGCCCGGGTGGCCATAACCATCTACTACCAGGCTAGTGAGGAGTTCCACAACGGGGTGGCCAGGTAAGGAGCCCCAGCCCGGCCTGTGTCTGTCCCCCAGCCTGGCCTGTGTCCCCCCAAGCCTGCTGTGTCCCCTGGCCCTGCTGTGGGGCTCTGCTGATGGACATGAAGCCCTCCCCTGTGGAGCATCTCTGCTCCTCAGGCCACGAGGCAGCAGCTGGTGGGGCTGTGGATGGAGTGGGGGGGTTCTTTGCCTTCTCTGGTGCTACCACCAGGTCCTGCCAGTCCCCACCACCTCCTTCCCTGTCCCATCCTGATCCCTCCTTTTACCTCCTGGTCTGAGCTGAGACCAGGACAAACCATTGTCCCTCCTAGTTCCCATCAGGGTGGCTGCAGAGTCCTCTCTGTTCCCTCCTGTCCCGTCTTGGCTGCCCTGGGGTTGTTTCAGCCCTATGGATTAATTTAGCCCTTTTTAAGACTTCCTGCTTCAGCCACAAGAAGCATCTGGGAGGAGAGGAATGACCTCTCTCTGTCCCACTTCCCCCACACCCCTGTGAGCCGGAGGACACCAGGTGGTGCCCCTGACTCTGCTCTCTCCTGGGGTACAGCTACATCCCCAGGGACAACAGCCTGCAGTCTGAGACAGTGCACTACAAGCAGGGGGTGTGCCAGCAGTTCTGCGTCCCCTCCCACACCGTGGACCCCTCGGAGTGGAGCGAGGAGGAGGTGGGTCCCACCAGCCCATGGCATCGACTGTGGGGCTGGGTGTTGATTAGGGATGCAGGATGAAGCCTCCATCATTGCTCCATCTCACCAAAGCTCTCCTGTCTCTCTCTCTCCAGCTGGGTTTTGACCTGGACCGGGAGGTTTACCCCATGGTGGTGCACGCGGTGGTGGATGAAGGAGAGGGTGAGGAGGGGCTTCCTTGCTGGGTTGGGCTTTTCCCAGTTGCTGGCACCACAGTGGCAGCCCTTGCACCAACTGGGCAGAGCCTCTGGCTTCTCCTTGCTGCTGTCGTGGCCCCGCGTGTCCCCTAAGCCCCGTGTGTCCCTTTGTGTCTTGCAGAGCACATTGGGCATTGCCACGTGCTGTTGGCCACCTTTGAGAAGGTAAGTGCCCAGCTGGGCTGTCCTCTCCTCTCCTACCCCTCACCCACCAGGTGCAAGAGCCTGGAGAAACCCCCTGGGGCTTGGGACGATGCTGCTGGGCTGGGGCTATTTTGGAGCTGCCTGTGAAGTTCTGGGAATATCCCCCAAATCCTTGATATTTTTTTTTACAAACCCACTTTTGAGGCATTTAATCTCAACTTCATCTTGCTCACTCCAGCCTTGCAACGTGTGACATCTCACACCTGCCTGGTACCAGGGTGTCAGGAACAAACAGAACTGCTGCAAAATGGGCTGGCTGGGAGGTGGGAGCAGTGATGGGGGCAGGTGGGTGCTCGAGCAGGGTGGTCCCTGGGGTGCTCAGCACCACTGCCCACCCGTGTGTTCTCCCTCCAGCACAGTGATGGCACCTTCTGCGTGAAGCCCCTCAAGCAGAAGCAAGTGGTGAGTGTCTGGGTGTCCCCAAGGTGGTGGCTGCCACCCTGCACATCCCTGGTTGGGGGAGGGGAAGGGGCTTTTTGGGAGCAGCAAGCTGTGGTGTGGGCCTGTGCCTGCCCTGCTCCTGTCTCCCAGGGAGCTTTTCTAGGGCAATTTTGGGTGTGTCTGTGCAAAGAGAAACTGCAGACATTAGGGCAAGGAGGGCTGGCCTGAGGAGGGAGCTGCAAGGGGGGGCATGTCTTTGCTCCTCACCCCTTCCCCACGGGGTTGCAGGTGGATGGTGTCAGTTACCTCCTCCAGGAGATCTATGGCATCGAGAACAAGTACAACACGCAGGACTCCAAGGTAGGCACCTGCATCCTCCAGCCTCCACCCCAGGGCACTTCCCTTGTCCCCTCACCCTGTCCCCTAGCACAGGTCCAGCCACTAAAACATGCTCAGGGCAAGAGTTCCCAGCATGGCACAGAGCTGCTGGGTGGGTGCAGGTCTCTGAGGACACTTTGTGTTGGCATTGAAGCCCCTGGAGGCAGAAAGCTGAAGGACTGAGCCTTTTTCCCCCATCCTTTGTAGTCCCTTGGAAGGGTGGTGGCTGGATCTCAATGGCTTAGGAGGGGACCATAGTGCCTGGAGGCATGTCCCCAGCACTGACATATGCCTAAAAGCTGGGGTGAAGGATGCCTTCCTGCATGGGGTGCTTGATGCCTCTGGCCCCAGCTCCCAGCCTGTGGGAGGGGAGGGATGAGGTCCCAGGGTTGCATTTCAAGAGCAGGCAGCCCAAGGACACGGGCGAGACCCCCCAGCCAGCTCCTGGGGCTCTCAGCTGTTTTTTTAAGAAGACCAAGGCCAAGTGACTCCCCTCTCTCCCGTGGGGCAGGTGGCTGAGGATGAGGTGAGTGATAACAGTGCTGAGTGTGTCGTCTGCCTCTCGGACGTCCGGGACACCCTGATCCTGCCCTGCAGACACCTCTGCCTCTGCAACACCTGCGCTGACACCCTGCGCTACCAGGCCAACAACTGCCCCATCTGCAGGCTGCGTAAGGGCTGGGGGGGCTGGGGGGCTGGCATCTCTGGGGAGGGGGCTGGCATCTCTGGGGAGGGGGCTGGCATCTCTGGGGAGGGGGCTGGCATCTCCCACCCTCAGGCTTTTGAGTCCCTCCAGCCTCACATC